TCCCTACGCCATTGCACCGCCCGGCGTAGGCGTGCGTAAATGCATTTCCTGACTATAAAAAAAAAAAAAAGTAAATATAACTGCAGTGTATTTTACTAGAGGGCGTTTTTTGATAATCAATGAAAACGAAAATATTAACATACCTTCCTGAGAGATAATATGCTAGGGGAGCAGTGGAATTTATATTTTACTTTATCATTATTTCATATACAAGTTAACAGTATGAGCATATAGTATTTTATTAATTAAAAAAACACAACTCATACGGTCAAAAAAAGTGTTTTTACATTTTGTACTTTTCGAAAATAACCCCTAACTTTGGACAGGCGCTAGCCCATCGGGTCATGAGTTGATATGTTGATACGTACATTCAGCTGACAACCCTATCCTTAACAAATAGAAAATATTATTTCATAGATGTTGTATTAATTTGACTGTTTGAACTTTATGTTCAAAAGTTCACAGGCGCTAAAAATATAAAGACTGGTTGATAAAATAGAAAAGACGTCCTTCAGCACATACATTTCCCCATAATTATTTTATTTTAAATAAAGATTTATAACAAATTTAATGCCTAGATTTGACCTCAACAAACTGAATAAGTTAAGTATAAACCATTATTTAGAATCGACAGTTGATTAATAAAAAAAGCGCCTACGATTTTTGTTGCAATTATCATGAATTCATCTCATGAACTTTTGCGCTGTGTCAAAGTGCCTACGGAACGTATCATACTAACCACTAACCAATAACCAACCACTGTAATTAATTGATTTAAATGTACAATACATTATTAAGTAACGGTATTTTTTATTAAGTGTTTGCTTTTGTATGTTTTTGATATCATCCTTTATAAATTCTGCAAGAAATTATATCTTTCTTGAGTTTGAAACTTACAAAGTATGGCGGCAATCTTATCGTATCTTAAAAATGCTAGCGATTATTTGAAATTAAGTGTGATTACTTGGTACAGTTTCATTGACATTTTCCACTGGCGTTAATGTTCACAATCGTTTCGCTCGAAGCTATACCGGGCGTGCAATCTAATAAACAAGATGGTATACGTCCTTTTGCCTTGAAGGCGTCACTTGATTGTAGAGATAAATGCAGCTTTATAGATGAGGAAGTACTTTGATTGCTCTCTATTCATGATATACTGACTTCGACTGAGATAATTATTTAAGAAATTATACAAAGAAAGTTGTACGTTGATGTAATTTGAAAGTTGTTTGAGCTATACCATGTTATCTTAATTTTCGTGAAAAAAGATATATGTTGTGTAAAATTGTTTTGCTGTTAAGTTATTGACACATTTAAATATATTTCAGTTACATCGAAAATTATTTTTAATACTTTTAAAAATTTCTGTGAAAAAAAATATCCTTTCTATTTTCTTTGGATAAAGATTTTATATTAAACACAAAATAGCAAGTTAGAAATTTACGGATAAGTACAGTCAAAACTGGTTGTATCGTCATCAAAAATGTAATGCAGTTGAAACTATATAAGCAAAAATCCAAGGGACCACAATGTTTTTGACTTTTGTTTATAGAGATTTCTTGCTTATCCATTTTCAACTGTAGTTTTTATAACAGATACTCTGACGTTTCTGACGAAGTTATATGATGTTAAGGCAGGACGTTTTGGTTACCATAACTGATGTGATATCTTAAGCAATGTGCGTATAAAAACCAGAATCCGAAGCCGACGCTTTATAAAACGTGAGCAAGTAGCTATCACCGCTTTTCGTATTGTGAAACCGTGTAATTATAATCTAACAAATTATAAACATTCGCATGACTAATGAGCTAAAAGTAAAGGCGGTGCTTTTAACATCGGATGACCCTTAGAATGCTCGCTTACACGAACTCTCTTTCACCGTAGCGCGTCGATAGCGGGCAAAGGGTTATATTGTTGCATAGGTCAACACGTAAGATATTTATCAAGCTTTCTTTGATATTATATGGTAATACTATAATTGCATGATTCAAGAAGTTAGAAAACTTGATTCATAGCGTTTTAAAAAAATATTTTATACTACTTTTTCTTACTTCCTACTAGAGTTTTTTTAAACTAAATAAATAGGTTTCTTTGAAGGTGTTACGGGACAAGTTCTTCCACATTAATGATGGGCGAACGTGCGACCTCTGGGTTACCGTGACACTTATGTTAATATATGAAAACAGCATCTTGTGAAAACTTTTATTTCGCAATGTGACGGCCTACATTGCTTAAATCGTTGTCAAAAGATCAACGAGCGGTAAAATGATAGATATATGATAATCACAAAACCATTTTTCATCATTTTATTGGACACCGTTTGCGACATATCTAAATTCTAGTAACATATGTCGTTCTCATCTATGTGTTCTGATTCAGTATTTCATGGGGACAGATCATCATCAGCTTACTATACGTCCCCACCGAGGGGCTTGGAGCCTATACCCTAAGTTAAGGGTGACTAGGCCATAGTCAACCACGCTGGCCAAGTGCGGGTTGGTTGACTTCACACATATCTTTTGAATTTCATCTCAGATATGTGCAGGTTGCTTTACGATGTTTTCCTTCACCGTAAGAACGTTGGATAAAAGTACATATGTAAATCGGAAATCGAAAAACACATTTGTACATGGCGGGATTCGAACCCAGGACTGCAGATTGCAAGTCAAGTGCTTAACCCGCGAGCCACCGACTCTCCGGGGACAGATGGTTTTACCCAAATATATAAACAATAAAAATTAGGCCTGTTTGTAAAAATGAAAAGATATTTGCTTCAAATATCATTACGCAAAGCTTCTGAAAGGAATAATACACCCCAACAATTTTGTGGACGTAGCGAAGGCGTAAATTAACACAATCGCCTCACTCTTAGGTCCATCATACACAAGGAAAATTTATATACGTAGTCTTGTGTACGAGCGGCCTTAAGTTCTTTAGTTGTCAAATGTTACAGTCCATCACTAACTTCAGGGAATACATTCCGCTAAGTTACAGGGATGGGTTCGCTGAGCTGACTGTCAACATCTAATAATGGAGAGGCATTAGAAGAAGGGAGAGCCATAAATAAGAAATATATTGATTAATTAAACTTCAAGGATAACAATGGTTTTATTCAACTTTGACAGATGAAACCAATTAAATAACAGTGTATGAATATAATAACGCAACGTTAACGTATTTGCGAGATCGTTCAAGATCAATTATCCCGAGAGTAACGTACGTATATTGGAAGCGTGCAGTATGCAGTTATTGTACTGCACACATACAAATCTTTAACGCTCCGCTACCCCCGTATATAAACCTGGTGCAGACTAGCCTTGAACTTCATTTCACCACGACTGCAACGCTCAAGACCATAGGCAACCCTTGATACAGCGATTGTTAGTACTATGGTGTGAGATTGTGTTTGTTATGTGGTAATAAGTTTAAACTTTTGTGTTTTGTGGTAATTCGTAAATATGAAGTTCGTAAATAAATCGGTAAGTAATAATAAATATTACACGTAATAACTAGGAAAATCAAATGAATAAAATTAATTGTATCTTTTTAAAAATATATTCTTAATTAATGTAAAGAATTTTTTTATATTAATTATAAAGTGAGAGTCAATTACGTTGCAATTACATCAACTATTGTCATAGTAAGGTGAGAAATTACAATACCTATGTATTATGCTGCTGTATACATAAATTGTCTATTTAATTTGTTAATTTTGTATATTATAATACACATATTAGCATAATGTTTTACGTATCAATGAATTAAATTCAATTGATTTCAATTTAGATGATATGATGGTGATGTAACTTTTTTTTTAATTAAATCATTTTTAAAACATCGTAGAAAAATCAAATCGAATTGATTCACTACATGTTTAATTTTTAAAATAATATGAAGCAACTTTACTTAATTATAAGCTAAATTACTTCTTGTAAAATTAATTTTAACTAAAAACCAATTTTGAAATGTTTGTCTGTCCGCCCGCAAATTCGCGTTGATCCGGGAAATCTCCGAAACGGCTGGGTTGCTTTTGACGGGACTTTGAAAGATAGCTTATGACTGCGGGAGTGATTTATATTATTTTCTTTATTTAGTTCCGCGCGAACGAAGTCGTATTCAACAGCTAGTGTTTTAATATATGTATACTGTTATCGCACTCTTAACTTCTTAAATAACCAATCCTTAAGAGAAATCAAGATAGAATTTATTAAGAGTTGGCTAGCAGTTATAACTTTCTAATAAGCTAATATAATTAGGCACGAAACGGTGTGATTTCGATCGGGATATTTCCTGATTTTTTTGGTATAGAAGTGGTCGCCCGCGACTCGCGATAATAATAGTGTTCTATACATGAGCTAGAGCTGATAGATAAAACATAACTATAAATCAATGAAACACAATGAAAATAATAGTTAGGATTCTATTTTCTATTTATGGCACAAGACAAAGGCTAAGGTGATATGTTATAAGGCAGTCATGACTCTGGGCACGATTTGAAAGCATTAACATACGACTGAAGCTTTGATATATGACCTTTATCTTTGCACACTAAATACCTATTGGTTTGAGATGGTATTTAATTAATATTACGATCTTATATCGCAGAAATTCTACAATAATTGTACTTAAAATTCAGTAAATGTTTGGTCTTGTTTATTTTTTGAATCTGTAATAAAAAATAATTTAAATAATCTGATGATTTGAGACATTTATCTTTATACACTATCATCAAATTAACATATCAGCTGTTTAATTGTTTATTTTTAAAATAATCATTTACTAATAACATATACTTTTGATTTAT